GTTAAGGCCTGCGTTTTAGAATTGGATTTATAGAATGTTTGGGTTACATTTCAAAGCCCTGACAGAGTGACTGATTGGGAGGCTGGGTAGAGAAGGGAAGGCTTACTACTGGATGAGAAGCAAGAAGTGGGGCTTTTGGGAGCAGACTGAGTGTGTCCTTTAAACACTGTGTTTAACATCCATTGGCTGTGCCCAGGGACTGTCATAGGACTGCTGGGCATATCAGTGTTGACCAGGTGAGTGTGACTTAACATCCAGAAATCCACAGGTGGACTATTGTGCCTCTATATTTCCTATTTCTCTGATGGAGAAAGGCCTCTGGTTCCTGCATCTCACCACCCAATGGAACACCTCTTTATGTGTATGCATGTTTCCATGATTACATTGAGATTTGCAGTCAGTATTGGAGTGACTGATACTGATGGGCCACAATCTTACTGCTCATCCGTAATTAAAGATGTGATTTTTACATCTTTTATTCTGAACTTTATGGTAAGATGGTCACAGGTAAAGCTGTAATATTTTTTTAGTTTTGCCCTTATGTGAACTTAAAGCAATTTGTTACCATGTATTGATTGTACAAAATAATGGGTTTCATTCTGACATTGTCATGTGTGTGTATACGGTATGCTTTGATCATATTCCCCATTTCTCTCTTTTGTCTCCCCTGCCACCCAGATGGCCCCTTTTCTCTTCCCAAATAATTTAAAGGAACTATTATTGTCTACAAAAGAAGAAGAAAATAGCTGGACTTGAATTGTTTAGTTTGTAGGCATGCTGAGTTGTAAAATATCTTCCTTGTCTCTGATGTCCACTAAAAATGCCTTTGGTCCACTTTAAAAATGTCACCTGTGACTTTGTCTACCCTGCTATTACTTTTCTTGCAATGTGTTGGATGGATTGAAAAAAAAAGGAGGGGGGGGGAGCCCAAGAGTTTTCTATGTAGCCAAGCTGGCCATGAGTTCACAGAAGTCTTCTTATTTCAGCCTTCTTCGTGCTGTGATTATAGGCCTGTCCCACCTCACCTGACTTGTTGGGTAGAAATTTAAAGCTTCCTGACCTCTAAGGTGACATATTTTACCACACTCCCACATTGTTCAAACGTTTACTATGGTCCAAGGTCCAGGTCCTGTCAAGGCTTCATGTAGCTCAGCTTAGCTTACAACTCTTTGTAATCTGGTATCTCAGTATTCATGTTGAAAGCTGGTCTTTTCATTCAGTGTACCTTACTAGCTAGAGAAGTGGGTGTCAGGCCAGCTTCCTGCCTACAGTCCTAACAAAGACTTCCAGACCCCCAGCATTCTGCCTTCCTATGGCGGAGAAGAGGATATTAGCACATCCCTTTCCCCCAGAGCCTAATAAAGACAGGAACATCACTGGGAAAATAGAATTTGCTGGAGGGCTTTGCTGCCCAGCTGAGTCAACCAGCTTGGGGGTCTCCTTAGTTATCTGGACTCATGTTTAAATATTGTAGTATGATCATGTGTTAATTACTGCATTTTCTTTGGTACTGAATGTTACATTGCTATTAAAACTATAAGGATTGTGGGCTCCAGTGGCATCCTGAGACAGCAGGAAGGTTTTCTTAATTACAGGCAGGACTTCTGAACGTTCCCTTACTAGAAATATGTACTGTACTCCTGACTTTGCCCACTGCCATAACAAAGGGCTACTTGCATTTGCTGTCACCAGTCTGATTGTTCTATGCCACAGGCTGATGAGGTCCTTTCTAGACAGGTGCAACTGGGAAGGACTAAGTTATCTAGTTTGCCTGGATTTTTAGGATTCCCCACCTTCTCAAAGAGTGGAAATACCTAGATCAGCTGCAGGAGGGTAAGTTTTGTAGCACCATAGAGAACAAGTCTTCAAGACAAAGATGCTAGGGACCTCTGAAATAACTTTGGATGTAGCTCTCAAAACCCCTATCTTACCAACAACCTCCAGAGCACCAGGCTTGCTTCACTTGTACACCAGAGTCATAGCCCTATTCCAGAGGAAAGGTTGTCCCAGATCTTCACATATACACATGTTCTGTGAGTCCTGACAGTTCAGTGGTATCTGGCTGTTTTCTGGAATGAGATGGCATGGAGCAGTTGAGCACTTGCCTGCAGGCACTGGGCCAAGAAGGAGCTGTCAGGTCAATCCAGGACCCTAAGGCTCTTGTTCCAGATGTCTGGACATAATGTTTATTTATGTTCCTGTCCTGTTACTCCATCACATGACAGAGCTTACTTGTCTTTACCCATAGCACTCCTATCCAGTGTCATCGGATAGCAGATGACAGTCAGATCTTTGGAGGATCACACTCTTTATGTACCCCTCCTCCATTCAAAGGGATTCAGATCTCAGGGCTTCTGGGGTTGCCCTCATTTGAGATGTTGGCTGCAAGAGTGGTACTGGCAATTAGGTTCTGTCCACAGCTTTTCCGTCCCTTTGTGCCTATGATCTGAAGTGGGCTAAGATGCCATCCCTAGACATGGTTCTGCCTCTCTACTGGAATTCTTTTTCTGGATCATTGATGTAGGGTGTCAACCTCCAAGGCAGTTTGTTCCTGTTATTAGCTCCCTCTGCCTGCAGGAATGTGATTTACAATCTGGAGTGGCCCTAAAGCCCTTCCCATCTAAAAAATAGCAAGTATGGGAAAGAATGTAAATTATACATAACAAATTCCTATGGTCAGCAATAATGGGATGGCTGGGGTGGGTTATTTTTTTTAATGAGGGATGCATATGGCTTTAATTTGTAAGGAACCCACCATATTTCTAGGAAGAACAGGTAACAGTGCAATGTCCTGCTGAGATACAGTGTTTTTCCAAAATGAAAAAATAGCACTTCTTGGATGACTCACTAAATACTTTGAAGTACCCATTCTACACCGATGGGGAAGGGACAGTAGGTGGCAGTAACATTTTAATATTTGTAGGATTAGTTGTCTGGTGTGAGCATTCCACCCCCCTCCTCCGCTAGCTCCCAAATTTTACTTCCCAGGAGGTTTGGCTAGAATAGTTTTGTTTTCTTCTTTACTAGTTTGTTAGTGGAGATTCTGTTCAAGGATCATACTGCTACTGTAAGCAGGAAAAACAGCCACAAAGTTGTCCTGAAGCATGGTGGGTCAGCTCAGGCTTTGGTTTCACAAGCTGGGCAGCAGCGGCTCTTGACCAGCCAGGAAGGGAGGGAACCACTTGTTGCCATGTGTATTCCTGCTTCATGAGACCACAGAAGCTGGGGTAATGTTAGCTTTACTTATGTTGAGCATTTTCCCATTTAGCCCAGTCTTCTGGTTCAAAGAGGTATGTGAAAGCTGAAAAAACATGCAGAGTTCAAACTTCCCAGGCTACTGTCATAACAGCCCATCTCTGCCAGAGCACCTATTAAAGTCAGCATGCATCTGTTTTTCCTTGGTGTGGTCAGTGACTGCTGACAGCAGAGCAGTGTGCATAATGTGCGTGTGAATATACTGCTTAAAATTACGAACATACACAGAATATCCCCACAAACACCCATTCACTCACATACCCCCTTGCCTTCCTGACATTTTCTTTGAGCCACATTTGATTCATAAAAGGTTAGCCTCAGCTGGAGTGTGAGGTAGCCAGGCCCACATAAGGCATGAAAGAGAAGGACCATTGTGGTCTCCCAAAATGTCTGAGTTAGTGTGTATGTAAATGTGTTGGCCACCCAAATCACCCCAGCTGAGGATCCCTTATTTAGTACCTTCTCTGCTAGAAATTTGTGTTTGTGTATATCTAAAAATTCAACAGGAGGAGAAAAGTCTAACGGTAGTAACAACGGAGAATATGTATGTCAGTCTCATATTTGGTTTATAAGTTAAACGTATGAAGGGAAATGACAGAGAGGCATGGAGATAATGACTCAGCAGCTAAGAGTACCGGCTACTCTTACAGAGGACCTGTGTTCACCCAGCACCCATATGGTGGCTCTCAACCATCTGTAACTCCAGCTGCAGGAGATCAGGTGCCTACTGAGTGCTGTGGCTACCAGGAACACACACAATGTGCAGACATGCATGCAGGAAAAACATTCATACACATAAGATTTTCAAAATAACTTTAAAAAATAGAGGGAAATGACACAATCAAAGGCCTGGGACTAGGTAGAAAGCTCAGTTAGTAGAATGCTTGCTGCATGAAGACTTAGGTTTGACAAAAGTTGGGTATGGTGATGGATTTGCTTAGCCCCATCACTGCAGGGATGGAGACAGCAGCTCACTCACAAGTCAGTCTGACCGAATTGGTAAGCACCAGGATCAGTCAGAGACCCTGTCTCAAAAAATAAAGGTGGAAAGTGATGAAGACGCTTGATGTTGCCCTCTGGATTCTACCAGCAGGAACACACAGAAGTTCTGGAATAATGGCTGCTTTAAAATGTGTTGCTGTATAAGTCAACTCACATTGCCACTGGTTTTTCAAACAACAATGCTCTGAACAGCAGAATTACCCTTTAGGTTTTGTTCAACCATGTAAGCATGACTTCTCGTACTCTGCTACACAACTGGCTGGCATCATGACACTCACCCAAAATGAATGTTACAGAGTAAGCCCAAGAATGGAAACAAAAATCTACAGCATTCGCTGCCTCCAGTTCCCCATTTCATCTATTTCAGCCCTTGATTTGATTTTTTTTTTATAAGTTTCTAAGTTAGTTACAGAGGTAAAGAAAATTCTTGAGTGTCCAGCTAGCTGGTCAGATTGAGAAATAAAGGGAATATTCCCCTTTCCCAAGCTAATTTTGTTGTATTAATAAGTTGCCAGATTTTACTATTGAGTTGCTGCAGTGACTAGCAAGGGCTGCTTTTTGCCAAAATAATATTAAAAAACTAACACTTAGCCGGGTGTTGGTGGCGCACGCCTTTAATCCCAGCACTCGGGAGGCAGAGCCAGGTGGATCTCTGTGAGTTCGAGGCCAGCCTGGGCTACCAAGTGAGCTCCAGGAAAGGCGCAAAGCTACACAGAGAAACCCTGTCTCAAAAAACCAAAAAAAAAAAAAACTAACACTTGAGCTAGGGATGTGACCTGGTTGGTAGAATGTTGGCCTACCATGCATGAAGCCTTGGTTCAACCCTCCTGCACCACATAAACCACAGTGTGATGCATGCCCACAGTCTCAACACTTGAAAGGACAAGCAGAAGTTCAAGGTCATCCTTGGCTATATAGTAAGTTTGAGGCTAGCTTAGGTTACATGAGACTGCAATTCATGAATAAAAGTGAAAGCTAACAGTCAAGTTGGAAATATAGATCAGTGGTAGCTAGTATGCATGAAAGCCTAGGTTCAAGTCCCAGTACTACAACAGTAAACAGTTTAAAGCTAATACTTAGGCTAACCATGTACCAGGAGCTATGCGTAGTGATTCCCATGGGTCATCTGACTTAGGTTTGAAGAAGTGACTGTAGCTAATTCCATACTGGATTTAGAATCACCATGGAAACAGACTTCTGAATGTGTCTCTGGGGGTGTTACCAGAAAGGTCTGACTAAAGTGAGAAGACCCACTCTGGAGGTAGGCTGTATGTATCCCATGGGCTGAGGTCCTGGACTGAAGACAGTGAAAACAAGTAGAGCAGCGTCCCTCATCTCTGCGTCCTCTCCTTGGACACATTGTGGCCAGACTGCCTCCCATTCCTGCCGTTGTGTGTCCTTCCATGATGTTCAAAGTAGGAGCCAAAACAACCTTCCTTCCTTTAGTTGCTTTTCTCGGGTGTTTTGTTAAAGTAACAAAAGTAACTAATCAAGGCTGGTCTCGTTTCCCTTGGTTGTACAGAAGCCCTTAGTCCTCTAGCCTGGGCACTCAGGCCTGTGTCTGCTCTGAGTTTTGCTTCACTTCCTCAGCTGCCACATTTAACTGTGCCCCTGAGCCCCACATCCTGCGTTTTGGAGGGCCATTTTGCTCATTTTGTTTTCCTGTTAGAGTTCAATCAACCATGGAAATTGATAGCCTTTCTTTTACTTTGTGCTAATTAGAAAATACATTAAGCTAGGTGTGGTGGCACATGCCTTTGATTCCAGCACCCAAGAGGCTGAGGCAGCTCTCTCCAGGTTCCAAGCCAGCCATGCCTACATGATAAGACCCCATCTTAAAAAACAACAGCCAACAGAAAAGAAAATACCACAAGGTATCTGTCCGTTGAAGATAACTGGAGACTACTGGTAAGTCCTCAGGGCACGTGCCAGGAACATACCTTCCAGAACAACCCTTCCACCTTAACGGTTTGGATATTTTTGCCAGACCCCAAAGAAGGTCCTGAGTTTCTCCTTTAGCTATGGGTTCATACAAATCTCTCAAAAATTCAGGCTTTGTGGGACCCTCTACTTTGGGTTTACAACCTTGAGGTCTTTTCTATGGAAAAAAGATACAAAAAGCTCTTAGGCATAATGTTTCATAAAAAGTAATGCCATGTGGCCTCATTGTTAGGCTACCCCTGGGAGTCTTGGAAAAGCCCCCCTTGCCAAAGGAAAGGACTTAAAAGCATTGGTTTCATTAACTTCACAGAAAACCCCCCACTAGCAACTAAAATAACTCACTTCACCTGGTTAGAGTTCAAACAAGCTACATCTTGTATTTTTTCACCCATAAATTGTGCAAACCCAAGATACCATTGTCCACAGGAAATGTAGTATTCCTTTACCCTCCAGCTTTCTAACCTGCCCAAATTTTCAAAATATGGGTCTGATTATTTGTTCCCCAAGGCCAGCAAACTGGCTAGTCCCATCAGCACATTCCCACTCTGAGATGCTCCCATTCTTGCTGGCACAGCAGAAGGCATCAGACAAATGGTCTGCTCTTCCTCCTGGACCAGACTCAGCCCTTGTTGCTTATGGAGGCAAATCTGCCATCCAAGCACTCTCTGTCTTTGTGAGGAACCTTCCTTTGGGGTCTTAGTATGTATCCATCACTGTCATGACTTACTCAATCCAAGAAAGTACTATAAGGGCTGTTTCCAAAAGAAAGGTGTGACACTTCGTCCCTTTCCTCCCCATTGGTCTGCTGGCAGATCCATCATTTCCCTTCTGGGCTTCTTGCTGATGGGGAACGTGGCTAACAAGTATCTTGCCAGGCCCACAAAACAGAACTGAAAGGTTCTGTGGCTGCAGTCTCCCAGCTTCCAACTTTCTTGTTCCTTCCCCTTGAGCCGGCAGGACTCAAGTCATTAGACCTGATGGTTTATAGAATTCCTGTTCCCATAGAAGTCTCTTTTCTCCTGGCGGGACCAGTAACCACTCTGGTTTTCAGATGGGGACCATGGTAGGGGTTCCAGAACTTAGATGAGCTGCAGAATCTAGGATGCCAGGAGCTGCATCTGCTCTGTATCTAAGGAAGATATTCTCTTGCAAGACTGCCCATTGCTTTAATGAGTACAGAACTCACAAGAAAAGGTGCTTCCACTGGTGGTTGTCCCCAAACTGAACTAATTATCTTTCATTTCACTAACTCTCCTGCTGGGACCAGTTTAGTTTAAGGAACTATTTTTGCCTTTGAACACAAATGTTCTTCTTTCTTGCATCTATTTACCACAAGTTTACCAGATAAGTAGTAATGGGACACTATTAGTTAAACGTTTCCTTGTGAATAAAAATGTGTTTGTTTTGTTTTGTTTTTGAAATGTGATTCCCAGAGAAGACCATTCTCACGTGCAACATCCATTTATGAGAGTGTCTATACTACGTGGACTCTAAGGTAATGGAGCCAAGGACAAATCACTCATCTGGCCTCAGGGAGAGGCCAACCCTCCATTCTGCAAGATTACTACCCTGTAATCACCCCCCCCACCCCCCACCCCAGTTCCTTATTATGCTGATAGGAACCAGAGGGTTAGGCTGTACTAAAAGAAGGCTGAGGAAATGAAACAGAATCACACGTTTTCACTCCCTCTCCCACCCAAAGAAAGTTGCTCCCAGATGCTCTGCCTGTTGTGCAGTTTCTGATTCTAAATGGTTCAAGGAGGAGGAGTTAGCCTGGGTGGTGCAAAGCCCTGTGGAAAAAGTCATAGGAACAAAAGAAAGACGAGCCAGTGGAAAAGTCTGGGGGAGCAGGGTACTCCAATATTTCCTAGGTCAAGACACTAAGGCTCAAAATAGTTAAAACACTAGGTCAGAAGTGGGTTCCCTTCCATCCCTGCTCCTTGGATTCCTGCCCTATGTGTGGTGTTCACCTACAGTTGCCAAAGGTCTGCTGTTGCTTGTGAAATAGGAGCCACTGTCTTCTCAATCAGACTTCTTCCTCTCTTCCTCGACTTGCACATGTCTCACGTCCAGGACCCAGATCTGTTCTATCAGGGCTTCTATCATCAAGCATTCCAAACTTTAAAGGTAATATGCAAAAAGAAGTATACTCAGATGAGGGTACACTGTTAGTTACTTTATTCTTGCTATGACCAAATTCCTGATAAGCGATGCAAGGAAGAAGGGTTATTTTGGTACAGTGTTTGAGGGTATAGTACACCATGGCAAGAAAAGCACAGTGGCTGGTCATATCGCACCCTCAGTCAGGAAACAGGGAGAAATGAATGCTTGTACTCAGTTCACTTTCTCCTTTTTATTCAGTCTGGGATGCCACCCATGCAGTGGTGCTGCTCACATTCAAGATGAGTTTTCCTTCCTCAGAGACACATCCAAAGGTGTGTTTCCATGATGATTCTAAATCTAGTCAAATTGAAAATGAAGATTGAAAATCAGAAGAATGGCAGACACCCCTTCCAAGTGAAGCATTGTGGATGGCCGTATGAGGTGACCTGTGGTATTTAGAAAATGCAAAAGGAGGGCCAGCAAGATGGCTCATCAGATAAAGGCATTTTTTT